GGCAAAGAAAAAGCCATATCTGAGACTGGCCAATAAAAGAAAAAGATTAATATGGGCAAAAGAACACAGACATTGGACAGAGGAAGATTGGAAAAAAGTGTTATCGACGGACGAATCAAAGTTTGAGGTGTTTGGATCACACAGAAGAACATTTGTGAGATGCAGAACAACTGAAAAGATGCTGGAAGAGTGCCTGACGCCATCAGTCAAGCAAGGTGGGGGTAATGTGATGGTCTGGGGTTGCTTTGGTGCTGGTAAGGTGGGAGATTTGTTCAGGGTAAAAGGGATTTTGAATAAGGAAGGCTATCACTCCATTTTGCAACGCCATGCCATACCCTGTGGACAGCGCTTGATTGGAGTCAATTTCATCCTACAACAGGACAATGACCCAAAGCACACCTCCAAATAGTGCAAGAACTATTTAGAGAAGAAGCAGGCAACTGGTATTCTATCTGTAATGGAGTGGCCAGCGCAGTCACCAGATCTAAACCCCATTGAGCTGTTGTGGGAGCAGCTTGACCGTATGGTACGCAAGAAGTGTCCATCCAGCCAATCCAACTTGTGGGAGGGGCTTCTAGAAGCATGGGGTGAAATTTCTCCAGATTACCTCAACAAATTAACAGCTAGAATGCCAAAGGTCTGCAATGCTGTAACTGCTGCAAATGGAGGATTCTTTGACGAAAGCAAAGTTTGAAGGAAAAAATTATTGTTTCAAATACAAATCATTATTTCTAACCTTGTTAATGTCTTTACTATATTTTCTATTCATTTTACAACTCATGATGGTAAATAAAAGTGTGACTTTTCATGGAAAACACAAAATTGTCTGGGTGACCCCAAACCTTTGAACGGTAGTGTATATATATATAGGCTTCACCTGTGTATATAGGTCAAGGGTCAATGAGCTTACCAAACAAATTTTGTGTTCCAATAATTAGTGCTAAAGGTATTCAAATCAATAAAACAAGGGTGCCCAAATTTATGCACCTGCCTACTTTTGTTTAAGTAATTATTGCACACTTTCTGTAAATCCTATAAACTTCATTTCACTTCTTAAATATCACTGTGTTTGTTTGCTATATGATATATTTAATTGAAATTGCTGTTCCGAACAACCAATGATACATAAAGAAAAATCTTGAAAATTATCAGGGGTGCCCAAACTTTTTCATACCACTGTATTTGAACTACCTCACCAGGCTATAGTATACTTTGTGTATGAGTGGGCACTGTCAAAGTGGAGCAGCCAAAGCTGAGTAGAAGCTAGAAAATTTCACTGGAATCTGCTAATGACTAAAATTTATAGCACAACGCGCACACGTACTCATGAACATGTTGTTGCACAGAGCTTAAAAGAAAAGAGGGGAAAGATATATAAGAGGTGCAGTGATTGCAGCAGTGTTTATGGGGGTAGGAGTGTATTAGTGTGGGTATTTTACCTGAGGAGGGGTCCACTGCCATTCTTGACGGTCCCTCCTACAATCAGTTCTTCTTGCCAGTGCATGTACTTCCTGGACAGACCATAGCAACCGCCAGTCAAGGTGTGAGCTACGTCAAATGACTGGTCCAGAAAGAAAAAACAACATTTGTGAGACTGCAGAAGAAACATGTTACAGACTGCAGAAGAAACATGTTACAGGTACATGTTAAATACACACACCAGGGTAGAAATGAGAACTCTATAAACACAAGATTTATCCAAGTGTGACATCTTTGCTTTCTTTGTTCTAGCACATGTAAATCTGTAAGCTAACTTGTGGCTATACCTGGACAAACCAATTATTGCAAAGGGATTTTGAAAAAAGTTACCTTTGTTTTTTAGTTGTTAAGTCCATTGGCTTAGTTTAGGAAATTTCTAGATTTTTTTTTTTTTTTTTAATTTTGGGCTACTTTATAAATGATGACTTTTGATGTTTGGTTTTAGCGGTTCTTTAGCTAACTGTTGGTTTTAATTTTTTTTTCTCTGCTGCTTTTGGCCAACTATTTGCAGTACTAAGCTTACTATTAGCATTTCATTATTTTTCTTTATAGAGCCGATTGTTATCAACTTCTGAAAGAGACTGACACAAAAACTATGCCAATGAAGTTATGTTTTACCCATATTTAATATATCTGAACATGTTTTTATAGCTTAGCTAGTTTAGGAGTAGCTATTTGCTATAACTAGCCATAGTTAAAAGCTAGCTTTTAACAGCAAATCACTTTTGATTTATGTTTAAACTACAATTAGCTAACATTTAACAGTGGAGCTGTTGTTTTTTTTCTCCAACTCTCATTTACATATTTACTTTTAATAAAATCAGTTTATTTTTACATCATCTTAAAATAATTTTTCCTTCACTGGTCTACAGTAAACAGGTGTATCACCTGTAATATGGCAATAGACATGGTATAAAAACCTTGTTTTCCCAACTGGCTTTAACGTACAGTTCAATCACATGAAAACCATAACTTATACTACCTTGATAGAGTTCTTATTGGGTGCTGTGATGGGGCAGTCAGGGTCAGCAGGGTTCAGACAGGGTCTATGCATGTAGCCGTGCCCCACGTCTGCCTTTTCCAACATGTCCTCAAAGGCTTCCACAGGGAAATTTGCTTTACGTAAGTCCTCAAGAAAATCCTTGGGGTCAAAGTTTGTCCACTGAAGAGGGTCTTTACCTCTGCAAAGATAATATTTTAATTTAATTTCTACATATTTCTAAATGCTTAAATGAGTTAGCATAAAAGTAGTCTTTCCCAGTGCCTGTTTGCCCCCTGGTTTGAAAAGACCAAAATTGTTTTTTTTTATATTACATTTTATTTCCCTTTTAAATCATTTGTATACAAATAGTACCAAAAATGTCACCAAAATCTCTAATTAATCCAGCTTCATAAAATAATCTAAATCCCACAGGACACCAGATTCCTTAGATGCCAGTTGGCAAACAGTGAGCAGTGAGAGGACATAATGTGTTCACTTCTGGAAGCTGAACATAATCTCTTTCTAGTTGAGTGACAAAAGCAATAAAATGGAGACCAATTCCCATCAGGCAATGGACAATTGCTTAATTCCTGCTCCAAACAAGTTCATTTTTTTCTACAATTGCTGTAGTGCACATTCCAGTCTCCTGCTCTCTCTCTTTCTCTCAATCATTCTTTCTCTCTCAGACTCTGTCATTCTGTCAATCTCCTTCTTTCTCTCATTCAGACCACATTGTACATGCTTAACCAGGCTTGCGTTATTTTTCCCTTTACCAGAGCAAAAAAAAAAAAAACAAACAAACAAAAAAAATAAGATGAAAAACTAACGGTCCCTTAAAAAAAAAAACAAAACATGCATTTGCAATGATGACAATGGCACACGGTGTGTGCATGTACACACACACATGCAGTGATGCAGGTCAGTTATTACTGTAGCAGCAGGCCATTAGCAACAGAAGGGCCAGACAATGATGTGAGGGCCAATGCTGGAGAGAAACGATCGCTAGCGATACGCATGCCAACAACCACTATAATAGAGCCTTCAGAGGAGAAAGTTTGAGAGATGCAGACCCACACACAGGCACACACACACACACAAAGCATGTTTGGGCAGCCTTTCCTATAGGGGTAAAAAGATACAATTCCACTCTTTCTGGTACTCATGCTCTCCATCATGGAAAACATGACATTGACTTTTAGGATTCTACTGCACCTTATCATTAATTTACTGCCAGGTTCAACTTTGTGGAAAGCTCAGACTGTGCAAAACTGTATTTTTGATTATGCCATTTGATCATGTTAAAGAATGAGGCTTTGGGGTAGATGAAAAGGATAAAACACCGGACGGACACTGGATGATGCTATACTGCTCTTGAGTTTTATAAAAGAAGTATAAAAGAAAAGAAGTCCAACTTACGGGAGGTAGACCATTCCAGACTGGAGCTTGGCTCCTTCCCAGAAACAGTCCAAAGGGGTGATGATGAGGCAGGGGTGTAGCTTTTCTATGATCTAATTGGATATTAATTCAAATGAACACAGTAACAAATGCACGATCAAAAGAACTGTAGAAATCTGATTGTAGCAGATGGATTACAGGTCTTTTTTTTCTTTTTCAATTTTCTTTGCATCTTACCTGATCCATAAAAGGAATTTCTGTGACTAATTCTCCTGATTTGTAGCATAAATGCTCTAATTTCCAATGTCTGCAAAGAAGAGATATACTTCTAATTAGTCATGCATGAACATCCACTGCGCTGACTGCGTTATTGTAAAAGAATGCCGTCTTTATGTATTACGTTACTGTGACCAATGCAGTTATACTGTATATGTAAAATTAGTGCTGAAGAAATGGACAAGAAGAAAGGCCGTTATGTCGACATCAGTACAATCCACATCACCTATTATAAAGGTAAACATGAACCCTGCTGGCTCGGAGAGCTGACTCCAGATGCTGCGCTAACGCCTCCACTGTTAGTACGTTGGCTCCTTCCTCCCGTGGTGTCTGGATCATCAGCTGAGGGTTAAACATGGCCTCTTCACCGATCTTCTGCCGTGTGTACTTAAGTTCCTGGTTCACACGTCCGCCAACTAACAAAAAAGACAAAAGATCGCAGGGTAAAAATTTGTAGCAAAACAAGTAAGTTAAAATGGCTGGAAAATGTGTTCAAAGATATATTGTGTTCCTCTAGAGCTGTTGGAGGTCAGGGATTATTTCAAGAAATTAAAGAAAAATAAAAGAATATCTGTAAATATTTTACATTTATCATAAATTATGTATCTAAATAATGAATACATTTCTCTCTCACACATTTGTCATGACACACAAAGGCCCACTGGCCAACTCAAAAAGCCTTGAATCCAGAGAAGTAACACCACATTAAAACATCCATGCTGTCACAAAGAAGCTCAAACGTTCAACAGAAGAAATTACCTTCATGTGAGTGTTTTTAACGAAGACAGTCTCAAAGTTCATGGTTGTTCAAGTCTTATGCATGAGCTCTGAGTGCTTAGTAAACTGTGGTTAGGGAAAAGTCTTTAGGTCATTCAGCTGTCCTGCATCACCTCAGGGCAGGTCTGACAAGGTCCATCCAAAAAAACACGAATCCTACCCTAGCGAAGGCTGACTGTGTGAAAAATCTGTAGCGTTTCATGGATTCATGCAGCAGCAGGAAGATTGTATATATTCAGCTTGTTGTAATGGCATTAAAGTTGAACATAAGCATGCTTTTCTGCTGGGCCCGACCACCCAGTCAGACCAGTGGAACAGGGAAGGAGGGGGCCATGTCTTGGGGCATTAGAGAAAACACTTTTTTTTTCCAGACCCAAACAGCATAACCATCTGATCCTGTCCATGTTTGTAATCAGGGCTCGAATTACCACGTGCATGCACCAGTTTGTGCACGTAAAATTGGAGCAGTGCATGTAATTTGGTACCCAACTTGCACCAGGGCAAGGAGCTTTTTCTACTGGTACCACCGGTAGAATTATCCAATAAAGAGCTTAAAATAAATAAAATAGCGGGGCGGCGCGGAGCGAACTGTAGACCAGTCTTTTTTCGAGGTGCTGCTTTCAGATGTACCAGTATCAATTATAGCGTACACGTGATCCGGTGGGGCATGCCACATTGGGAATTGTTATAAAGCGATAGCGATACACTGTCATGTTTGGCCCAGTGCTGCAGCTGTTTAAATACCATAACAAAATTTTTTATTAACAAATTAACATTTTTACATATAGAATGTCTTTGTTTTTGTGAATTTATTTGGCCCCACAAAATCATAGCAAGTTTACCACAACAAAAGGTATAAAATATTGTGTTAATTTTTTTTTTTTTTGCCTGACTTAAAACAAAGTGTCACTGACTTTAAAACTCTCCCCACACCAGCTATCTTCTCTCACACACTCACTTCTCCTTACCCTAATATAACCACCACTGGGAATTAAAGACAAAGTAAAGGACAATCTTACCAATATGTTGACTCTAAATACTTCAGTGTTCTCCCACAAAGATAGAGCCTTGTTATGCACCTTTTAATCCCCCATTATGAGCAAGTATTAACATCCATTGAAAGTGAATTATTTGTCATTGGGACACAGCACATCACTGCACACAACAAAAAGTGACCTCTGCTTTTAACCCATCACCAAAGTGAACAGTGGGCAGCTTTAAGCGCCTGGGGAACTGTGTGTGGGCAACTTGGCAGCTGGTGGACTTGAACCTAAAATGTTCCAGACCCAAGTCCACTTCCTTAACCACTAAGCCACCACTGCCCGATTGTATATTGACTAATGTTAAACCTGAATTAACCCCAAGATCACATTAGAGTGCAATGGATGAGACAAGCGAGCATCCAGTTGCAGGAGTTTCCAGTTGATGGAAAACACAAGCCTATCAAGGTCTAAATGTCTCCACAAAAGCTGGTCTCCAACAGCTGCAGCGGGAAGAGCGAAGGCTCTCAGATGGCACAGCACTCAAACTGACAACTTGTGGAGTATGCATATTAACTTATGTGATAACTGCCTTTGATGTTACATCTTACCAATGTCTTACCGATGACTGAGCTGACCCACGTGAACCATTACATCAGTTTTTTTTTCTGTTTAAAGAGTAATGCAATTATTGGTTCTTGAATATTTCTCAAAATATATAGATTTTCTAACATATCAAAGAAAACAATACATCAGTTTATAGTGGACATTAAAAAACGTTACAAATGATTGAGAAGAAAATAAAAACTAGAGAAAAGGTAGAAAAAGGGCCATTTGTGTCACTGTATTGGAGCCCTTAGTGTGGGTATTCAGCCTGTTGCATAACATTAACCACAGCCCCCCCTATTCTCAGAGTAGAGGAATAGGAGGTGGTGGGATGAAGGAAGAGAAAGTAGGTTTCTAAAAAACTGACATCACCACCCTTCTTTCAATCCTCAACTGCCCCCCTCGCTTTACACTCATTTTCTCTCTTTGGTCTATTCAGCTCTACGCTGTGATTGGCCGGATCATGATGGCAATCAGTTTGGCCTCCCTCTCAGGCCAGCCCACCCCCAACACTTCATGCCAACTTTTGGTCATTTCCATGTGACACACCACAGTGCAACGCCACCCCCCTGCACACATCTCACGCCTGATAACGGAAGCATCACACATTCTGTCCTTCCTTCCTAATGGAAATACCATGGAAAATAAATCTAAATCAGAAGGTATGCACCTATACTGTGCATATGCTGTAAACAAAATTACTGTCAACTTGTTTTACATATTAAATCAAATAAAAAAAAAATCAAATTTTATTTATATAGCCCACATTTACAAAATACAGTTTGTCACATGGGGCTTCACAGGGTTGGTAACATCCTCTGTCCTTAGACCGTCAGCCAGGGTAAGGAAAAACTACCGAAAGAGAAACCCTTTCAACAGGGAGAAAAGAGAAAGGGAGAAACCCTAGGGAAAACCAAAGGGGACGGATCCACTCCCTGGACGGACAGACGTGCAATAGATGTTATCAGAACAAACATTGTACAAAAACAAAAAAACCAATGAAGGAAAAAAAAAAAAAAAGTTCAAGTTCCGGTTGTGGATCCAGTAGTTGTCGCAGTAGTGGTAGTGGCAGTAGTCCTGTGCTCCTCCTGTTCACCGGTGGCAGCAGAACTGTAAAAGAGTGGGACCAGTTTCCTAAGTGTATACATGGTGGTCGGTATGAATATAGGACAGGACAGAAGAATAAAGTAAGACCGTAGAGTCTGTGTCCTCATTATAAGTGCAAGATGAAGTGAAATGAAATGAAATGCAATGCAATGCAATGCCCCCCAGCAGTCTAGGCCTATAGCAGCATCTTTTTAGACTGTTCTAGTCGGGGCATGTTTAATCTAATTTAGGCTATAGGCTATACTATACAAATGGGTTTTGAGTCTCACTTTAAAGGACGAGACAGAATCTGACTCTCTTACTGAGAGTGGGAGCTGGTTCCACAGGAGAGGAGCCTGGTAACTAAAAGTTCTACCACCCGTTCTATTTTTATTTATTTTAGGGATGACCAATAGATTCGAATTTTGGGAGCGCAGTGATCTATTTGGTTTGTATGGGGTAATTAAATCACAAATGTATAATGGGGCTTGATTATTTAGGGCCTTGTATGTGATTAAAAGTATTTTAAAGTCTATTCTACTTTTTACTGGGAGCCAGTGTATTGAAGCCAAGACGGGGGTTATATGTTCTCGTCTTCTAGTTCCGGTCAGTATGCGTGCTGCCGCATTCTGGACCAGTTGAAGGCTTCTTAAGGACTTATTGGGACATCCTGATAGTAGCGAATTGCAATAATCCAGCCTGGAGGTTATAAAGGCATGGATTAGTTTTTCAGAATCTGGTCGTGATAACATTTTTCTAATGGATTTAATGTTACGTAGGTGGTAGAAGGCTGTTCTACAGGTTTGGTTAATATGTTTTTGTAGTGATAAATCCTGATCAAACAGGACACCCAGGTTCCTTGCTTTACCACAGGGGACTGGGGTAGAACTACCTATGGTTATAGTTAGATTTGACAATGGTGCTCTTATATGTTTAGGCCCTAAAACTATGACCTCAGTTTTTTCTGTGTTAAGCATTAGAAAATTCTGGGTCATCCATGTCAGAATGTCTCTAAGACAATCTTGGATTTTAATTAAGGGGTTTGGGTCATCTGGCCGTACCGATACATACAATTGGGTGTCATCTGCATAGCAATGAAAGTTTATGTTGTGCTTCCTGATGATGTTGCCTAGTGGCAGCATGTACAAAGTGAAAAGAATTGGGCCAAGCACGGAACCCTGAGGAACTCCATAGTTCACTTTAGTGAGTATGGAGGATTCCTCATTTACGTTAACAAATTGAAACCTGTTCGACAAATAGGATTTGAACCAGGCAAGTGCTGATCCTTTAATCCCGACATCTTTTTCCAGCCTATGTAACAGGATCTCACGGTCAATTGTGTCGAACGCTGCGCTGAGATCCAGAAGGACCAGGATAGACGCCAGTCCCTTATCAGAGGCCACGAGAACATCATTTTGTACTCTCAATAGTGCAGTCTCTGTGCTATGATGGGTTCTAAACCCAGATTGAAATTTTTCAAATAGATTATTGTCATGCAGATGATCACACAATTGGGAAGCGACAGCTTTTTCTAAGATTTTAGAAATAAAAGGTAAATTTGAAATGGGCCTATAATTAGCTAGAGTGCCAGCGTCCAGAGAAGGCTTTTTAAGTAATGGTTTAATTACTGCTATTTTGAATGCCTCTGGGACACAGCCACTCAGTAGGGACATATTTATTTGTTGTAATATTATGTGACCTATTTGGGGAAGGGACTCTTTAACTAGTCTAGCTGGTATAGGATCCAGCTGACAGGTGGTTGATTTAGCAGCGGAGACCAGAGACCTTAGCTCGGGGAGATTTAAAGGGTTAAATTCATTTAATTGTAAGATTGGAGTCACCATTGTGTCTAGGTTATTCATGCTAAACTGCATTTTGGTCATGTGTGGAGGAAGGAGGTGATTAATTTTATCTCTGATTTTATCTATTTTGTCATTAAAAAATGTTAAAAAGTCGTTACTACGCAG